TTCCATCTTTATTTGACCCTCTAACTCTAGCACTCTCTATTCTAATTATAAAAAAACTTGCCCCTTTTAGACTTGCAATCTAATCATTTACTAATTACTTGTTTTCTTAAAAAAAAGTCTCTAATCTTTTCGTATTCTATCTATTTGTTTTCTTTTTATTTAATATACAATTAACAAAAGCAATAAGCAAAGTTGATGCCAATACTGAGGTTGCTGTCAGACTTGTTGATGCAGTCCACACTAACCTGCAGTTGCCCAGAGTAGCCTCCACATGTTGCAAATGCAAAGATGGCAAAAAGCTAATGGAATATAACAAGCACAACAGTTAATATAAGAATTATGACATTATTGTTTCTCATCAATTTATGAAAATACAAGTTATTAGTTAAAATTATTATTATTAATATTATTAATTTGCAGAAAATGCAAGTTTCTGTGGGTTACATTGTTACGCCAGTAGGTGGCTCCAAGTGATTGTTTTTACAAGTGAGTCATTCGTCAGTTAATTCATTCATTCAACCGATTCTTTCAAAACCCCTGAATCATTCAGGAAGGAAACAAGTGACCATTTGAGTGAATCATGGAGTCATTTACTTCACTAAAGCGATTTGTTCCGATTCATTAGTTAAAGAAACACCACATCTGCATGTTGATGCAGATGCACTTTCAAAAGCTAGCACTTTCAAAACTAGCAATACTGTGTGTAAAATATAAGTTATTCAATATTAATTTGTTTATTGAACAGTTGAATAAAAGGAACTGAATATCGGGAATCTTACATCAATAATCTCTCATATGGTCATTGGCTAGTTTTAACGTAACAGAGACGTGACACATCTTTTCAGATAACAAACTCTTTTTCATGAGATATTACTTAACCATAAGTCTAATTACAGAAGAAGAAAAAAGTTTTTGTAATAACTTGCATCGCCCCGACCTGAAATGACGTCACCAGCATTCATTACATTACAAAAGTTCCATGTTAAGGCTATAAAGAGAAAAGTGCTTAAAGGGACATTGACTAACTAGAAGAGTTGCTCTAATCACCATTATTTTATTTAGATACTGGATTAGCAGCAGTAATGTGAGACTGATCAATTTCAATTAAGTCTGAGCCACTGTAAACAAGCAATTAATTCTCATCCGGAGGAGTCAAGCACATTTGCAAAGGATGTTTGTGAACTCTGAGTGAAACTATGATGCCTGAACATCTTTCATAATAGAGATGACACTCACCAAGAGGTGTTCTCTGTCTCTCTGTCTCCTCTATCTTGTCGTTAAGATTATTCTCTTTTACCTCTCCAGATACCTGTATACCCACCGCCTCTGTCTCATTCCTTCTCACTGTTTTTCTCTTTTTATGTCCATTACCCCTTTTTATTTAGGCCATGGATCTATTGTGAAGGCTAGTCTTATTAAGCACATGCTCAAGCTGTCTGAGAGCTAAACGCACTGGCATAAAACACATTTCTGTGACACTGATATGAGAATGGGCTCTTTGTAGGAGGTAATACATCTCAGTGAACCCATATACAAGTCATTCTGCAGATATGCAAGACTGAAAGCCTGAAAAAAATCAATGATGAGAATATTTTCAAAATTCAAGAGAGATTATAATGTGAAAGAATGAAAGCGCACTGATTGAATATAGTGCTCAAAGTTCATTATTTATTTATTTGTAATATTATTCAAAACATTCTGTGGCTGGAGGACATTAATGATTCAAAGACAGTGTCTGGCAATGGAACAATGATAATACAAAAAGAAGAACCTGAATACAAACTTTTTTCCCTAAAAATTTACTAACACGAAAAGAAATAGCAAAAATAGAATCTGTTTTTAGACAGGTTTCCCCAAATAGGCAGTCCTGTCCAAAACTCACACTGGTTGTTTCTATGTCAGGCCACTCAAACAAACAAACAGGACAACAGGAAATCAACATTCAAATGACATATTACTGTTCAAAAAAGTTTTTTTTGAAGGACACATTAAATTGACCAAAAGTGACAGTAAAGACATTTATAATGTTACAAAAGGTTTCTATTTCAAATAAATGCTATTCTTTTAAGCTATCTAATTATCAAAGAATTTTGGAAAAATGTACACACAGTTTGCACAAAACAATTATAAGCAGAACTGCTTTCTACATATAATGTTGAAATAATAAATGTTAATATGAAATGTTTCTTAAGCATCAAATCAGCATATTATAATGATTTCTGAAGGATCATGTGACACTGAAGACTAGAGTAATGGCTGCTGAGGTTTTGCCATCACACATTACACTGAAATCTATTAAAATAAAAAAACACATTATCACTGTTTTTACTGTATTTTTGATCAAATAAATACAGCCTTCCTTCAAAAACATTAATAATTATTACTGACCCCAAACTTTTGAATGATTGATTTGTATTTGAATGGTAGTGCATAAAATTGTATAATATATATCATATTTAAATACGTTTTACAGATTTCCCACAAAATCAGCTCAGAAAATGTTGGAAAAACTAAATTTAAGAGACAGTTTTTCAGACTTCAGAAGCTCTTCTGGGATACATTATATATATTCATATTGGACTATAAATCCTGCTTAACTTTTTCATATTCACTCCTCTATCAGTCTATTTTTTTAATAGTTTTACATTCTAGCTTATTACTTAAAAAGTCTATTCAGGATACAGGTTTCAAACATGATACCTTCAACAATTAATAGCCAGAATGTCACCATGGTAACATAAAGACAGATACGCAGTGAACCTCCTCAACCTAATCACTACAATCTATTCAACTACAGAAATTCTTGCTTTTTTAGTTTCTAGTAAACCTAAAAAAGCTCACAATGGCATAGATACAGTACGAATCCAAGGACCTCTTCATAGCACATCTGCTATTCGAGAAACACTGGAAACCAAATCCCCTTTTTGCACCGCATTTCATTGATTGTGAATAATGACTCATTCATAAGCTAACAGAAATAGACATTTCACTCTGAATTACGAATGATTCAGTCGAATGATGAGAGCAAATGTTAGCACCTAATAGGTCTCCAATGAATGGGATGTTGGGAGATCTGGAGTCTTACTGTTGTTTTAGAAGAAACTGCACCACAAAACTCACAAAAATCCCACATCTTACAAGAAAAACTACCATACAAGATTATTAATATTAAGTCAGTTTAACTTTATAAATATATAACTGTGTAACACCTGATGGCTGCTACGAGACATACAGGGATTGTGAAGCCAGGACTTACCGGAGCAAATATGACCATACACATTTAAAAGCAAAAGAGATATCCAGCTTCAGAACATATCAGATGTATCTTCTCCTCGTCTCTCTCTGCTCTATCTGCTTGTCTTGTAGTGTGGATGGTGAAGGGGGGAATGTGAGCTCAGGAGAGGGATGGTGCTTCCGCCTGGCTCTCTAAGTATAACCCTGCACTCCCTCTTTTGCTCTGAGGACGGGGGCTGCTCTACAGTCACAAACACACAGAGGGTCTCCCCAAATCACTTCACAATGAAGTCACATGTCATACTGGACACTGAATGCTGCAGTTTTTCATTGGAATGAAAGAGATTGTCCAGAGAGATTTTGTGGCACAGTGATCTGAGTGAATCACCAATAATAATCAGCAACATGGTCTCAGCTACATAGACTTGATTTAGTTTTACTTCCAAGAAATTTCTTAAATAATGTTAATATGGTGAAAGTTATTTAATTGTTAAAATGTTATTAGCTAATATTGCACTTTCAGTTTTTCGGTTTATTTGTTGTCCACCCTATTATGCAGTTTTTCAACCACAGTTTGATCAAATCAAGAATATTTTTGTTTTAAATTATTTAGTGAGGGACGTTTAAGTGTGTGTCCCTCAAAAACGTTGTGCACATTTAGACTTAAACTGTAAAGATATAATTTTTCTTAAAAAAAATGAATTATGTTTTTTAAAAATATATTTTCAAAAATATATATAACTAATATTATATCATATAGGAATAAAGGACTTTTCATTAGTAATGTACACATACTGTATATACTGTTATGTTTTTGTCCTTGACAGGATGAGCATTTTTCGTATTTGCCCCTTATATGCCCCTTTTGTGATGATACAGAAAGATTCTTATAAAAGTATATGTCATTTTTCTAAAGTTTCAAAGCCCTAAAGTTAAAAAAAATGGTATAGTAGGGACTTTAGTATAGGGACCAAATCTCACTATTAACTATATTATTAACATATTGGCTGTGTATTAGTGCTTATAAAGCACATATTCTATATGACCATGTTCTATGTCCCTAATCCTACCCAATAACAACTACCTTACTAACTATTAATAAGCACCAAATTAGGAGTTTATTGAGGCAAAAGTCAAAGTTAATGGTTTGTTAATAGTGAGAATTGGACCTTAAACTATAGTGTGACCAAAAAAATATTAAATGTATAAATAAATAATGTTCTGTTTCATCCTTCCAGGATTGAGGTTTTAAGCAGGACTCTTCAACTGGCCAGTGTCCTGCAGACTTTAGTTCCAACCCTTATCAAACAGAACAAGCTTATCACAGTGTTTAGAATTACTTGTAAATTACAGACAGGTGTGTTTAATTAGGGTTGGAAATAATGTCTGCAAGACACCGTGTGCAACACTACAATAGTGTTGTATGTTATGAGACTGTTAGATGGCATGACGAAAACAGTTTTAGAGTTTATTGTCAATGTCATTTAGATGTCTATTTCAGATGTGTAGAAAATGTCAGCCTTGCTAATAAAGCACATGATTAATTACCACAGCTCTTAATATAAGACAGCACTGGCCTGTCATTATGGCAAAAACAATGCTGCCTTCTCAAGGCTAACCACAAAATGCCTGCTCGCATATCATGCCAAAGTAACTTGGAAAAGCTACAATCCTTAACAATGAAGCTTATGTCTAAGTAATGGAAATAAGAATTAGAGTCTCATGATGTGTATTAGAACACCTCAACCACTGGTGCTGAATTTCACACATTTGAGATGTTTCATCCCAGCAAAAACTTTCCATAAGATGAGGCGTTTTGCAAGCTTTAAGTCAGTGTTATTTTAGTATCACTGATATACTGTTTTTATTTAGTATTTCTTTTTGAATTAGATTTTATTTTTATATTGTCTATTTTCATTTTAATTAGTTAAGTTTTAATAATTTTGTTGTGTGTTTTTGTCATTTTAATTAGGTTTTATTTTAGTTTATTGTGTGTTAGTTTTTTTTTTATATTTTATTTCAGTTCATGTTTAAATTGCTTTAGATATAGATTAGTTAGATTTAA